TGGCTGGCAGGGGAATTCTGGGAGTTGAAGTCCACACATCTTCAAGCCGCCAAGGTTGAGAAACACTGCACTAGCCAAACTCTTGCGTGCACTCTACTCCATTCATAAAATACTTGTTTGCTTACCTCTGTGGAAACTTGGCATCATTTTGGGGTGATGCTTGTCATTGTCAGAGATGGCTTTGATGCAGAAAATTGGACTTCTTAGCCAGGAAGTCTAGGACATGCATATTATCCCCATATATGCACTTTGCCCCCAGTCATAAATTGCCTGCCCATCCCCAGGGATCCCTATTTATAGAGACAAGGTCACACGGTATCTGGGGTGACAGACTGTTTGGCTCCACTGGGAGAAGACTTCATTGCTTGGGTTTTTTTCCAGAGGAGGAAAGCAGACTATTGGGGTGTGGTAGAAATGAAATCTAACTCCGATTTAGGGATTTTTGCCTGATCCTTGTGTTTTCTTTCAAGAACAGAACTAGCTGATTTGGTCTCAGACCTTGGCAGGAAGGGCCACTGAATGTTAAAACCAGGCTGATGCCTTGCCCCTCCCATCCTCCTCAACTTCCTGTCCTGCACAGATGTGGACCAGCATCTCTTATCTCACAGCTGAAGATGCTGAGAGCTGTGGTTGAACACATCTGGGAAATACCACATTTGAGAAGGCTGTGCCTGCAGTCAGAAAGTTCGAGCAAGACATAACATGCTGCTCTTTATCAAGTATATTGCAAGACGTACATGTGGGTCTTTATCAGAGGAAGCAACATCTGCGGCAGCAGGCTTCCTGCTGAACGGGAAGTGGGGCGGCTTGAGCCTTCGGTCCTCAGCTGTTCATCTATTTCAAAATGCTCAGATGCTTCCCTTTCTTGCTTCCTAGGATTAGGAGCTGCAGGGATCCACCTCTTACTTTTCTGGGAGCAAAGTAGCTGGGGATACTTTGGGAAGATGGGAAAGAGATTTTGAATGGATAAAAATAACACATCCTTTCCCCTCATGGCTTCTACAGCTGTTTTATTGGAGGGAAAAAAACATCTTCAGGATGTGTATGTATATGGAGAGGGGAGGGGGATCAGAGCAGAATTACATATACAGGAAGCCCCATTGACATCCCCAGGAGCTGCTAGGTTGCGCCAAGCAGTAATGATGGGTATGGCTCAGATGAGAAGAAGGAGGTCCATGGAGGTTGGCTGGGAATACTGCTAAAAACATCTGAAGCACAGGGGCTGCTAAATATTCAACACTTTCTTCTCTCAAGCAATGCTGTTACTTACCAGTTAAAAAATGAATTAACTCAGTCTTAACCATGCCAGCTCAATCACTTGTATCCCTCAGAGCTTGGCTTTTAAAAGTATTACAGAAACCAGTTTAGTTTACATCAGCTTTGCTAGCCTAGCATGTTCTGAATGCACTGGAACACAGCTTCCCTAACTCCGAATCAGCATGGCCATAGACAGAGAGAAGTTGTGGGTTTTGTAGTCTAGTGCACCTGAGGGGCGAAGCTGTTTTACATCTTAACCATGCAGGGCTAGAGTTTTCTCACTTGTGAATGGTACACACTTAGAGCTTGGTACACATTTCACCATGTATTCTCAGGCTCCTTTCTATTGGTGAAGGCGGGCGGGTGCCAATTTGGGGCTTGTTTATATATATTTTTAAAATAAAATTTGTTTTTAAAGAAAAAATGGAAGTTTGTCATAAGTCAAATTACTAAAAAAATAGGGAGACTGGAATTAAAGAAGAACTACAGCTTCATCACTCTCTGAGTTATTACAAGCTCTGCATATATCAGTGACTTTCCCAATGGGTATCCCTGCATTTAGAAAGCTATCTCATCAAAGGGTTCTCCAGCCCAGCTTTTGCACTGACATCTTCGACATGCTCAGATTTTATTAAGTGGGATTGTGTACAGGAAGATTCACCCAAGGGAACATGCCGCTGAAATAGCTCAACTTGGGTTGTGTGTCCTCTCCATCTCTAATTGATACTGCTGCTCTTTTTGATATACTCAAAATGAAATATTTTATTGTTGATGGTTATGATGCACCTGGGGGGTGGGGGTGGAGATGCAAACTTATCCCTAATCAGGAAAAAAAAAATGGATCAGATTCCTAAGTGGTTTTTCTTGAAGCAGGGACCAGAAAGTTTAACAGGCCAGATTGGTGGTCTGTTCTGATAGATGCTTGCTGGAATAGCATTTGGGACAGACTGAACCCTGTATCTGTGACCTGCCTTGTTCAGTGAAAGGATGGTGCAGAGCACGGGATGTTCATAATGTGGAATTGGCAAGTCAGGAGGTACACTTTTTTCCTGCTGTCATCCTACAGACCTCTCTAATTTCATCCCATTTTATTTTTACAACCCTGCAAGCTCGATTCAATCATAGTACAACTGTGGACTCAAGTACGTGTAGAGAGAGCATTATGCTTGAGTAGGGCCTCCAGACCTAATCAGATACTAATCAGCTTTCTCTAACCTGGCATCCAACTTCTTGATGTTTGGGACCTACAACTTGTAACACTGGCTTGGTGTTGTAGTCTCAACATCCCTGGAAGGAGCCACATTGGGAAAAGCTACTTTATCCAATGCGCCGTGACTATGTGTTTGGATTTCCCACTTCAGCCCCTACCTGCCCTGCCATCTCTCCTGTCCAAGTCTTTGGCTACCCCCCAGGGTTGTCTGCAAGGGTTCAAAAAAGTCAAAATGGCCACAGCTGCAGATTGAAAACCCACTCTTTTTTACAGGTGTCATGATGCCTCTAACAAAAGGGGGCAGGACTTTGCATGGTGGTAGCCACCATCTTGACTTTTTTGACCTCCTGGGCCTGCCCCCTGCTGCCTTTTTCTCTATTACTCATTCTGTTCCTTATTTTGGAAAATTCCCATCTTCCTTCCCAGGCCTTGAAAGCGTTCCCTTTTACACTGCATTCAGAGTCTCTGCACCATTCTCCCTCTTCTGGGCAGAATCCACTTGGGGCTTGCCTGTTCTCCAAGACTGGTGAAATGTTTCTACAGTCTGGAAATATGCATGATCTTGGCTGGGGAGAATCCAAGGAAGCCTGGGAGAAGAGAGACAAGAGCGAGGTCAGCTGAAGTTCAGTCAGCTGATAAATCAGCGCTCCTAGCCGGAGGAAGGCAAAGATGCTGTGGGAATTGCAGGGGGGAGGAGGGTTCCATGCGCCAGTGTTTGCAGGAAAAAAAAGGCTCTTATTTGTGGGAAGAGTTTAGTTCCACAACACATCTGTGGCTGGCTGGGATGACATCCCCCAAGGCCACGTCTCTGACCTACAGTCCCCAAGGTGTGTTAAGATTTTCTTGAGCCAGGAGTGCAGCTAGGAAATCATAGTCTCTAGGCCAGCGTTTCTCAACCTTGGCAGTTTGAAGATGTATGGACTTCAACTCATGCTGGCTGGGGAATTCTGGGAGTTGAAGTCCATACATCTTCAAACTGCCATGGTTGAGAAACACTGTTCTAGGCCATATTCTTATGCTTCCCCACCACTTTAAAGAGACGCCTGCCTTACTTGGGAACTCGGTGCAAAAAGGTTGGGTGCAGTTTAATGTCAAAATGATGGAATGCGACTCTGGAACAAATCTGGCATGGAAAAAAGTGGGCACCCTGGTCGAATTGTATGTTTCAATGAATCCCTAAATAAAGAGAAGCTGACACCACCTCTGCGTGGTGCAAAGTGAGCACGGTATTTTTCTGCAAACTGGAATGCATCCTTGGTATCAAGGCGTGAATGTGGTAGGTGCTGAAGGGTAAACCACTTTTCTATCAGTACTTAACAATGTCTTCTTTGACAGAAATAGCAATTTCCAAAATGTTTCCTGTAACTGGCTTCAAGTCTATTCTTGCTTTGAGAATTTTTTCCTACTCCTCCTTGCAGAACTCTTCAACTCAGAAATATTCTTTGGTCTCCTTGCATGCATGGCATGTTTGAGATCTCAGTTTTTTAAAAATATTCAAATCTGGAGACTGAAGGCTAGTGTAAAATGTTTAGGTTTCTTTCCTATAAGCACTTTATGGTTCTGGAAGTATTTTGGATGCCTTTCTTGCTGAAATACCCAACCTCTTTTCAGCTCAGTTTCTTCACTGGGCATGGAACATCATCTTCTGGTTTCAGGCTTACCAAGTTTTGTTTGTTTGCATATTTTGGATGATTACTTTTGTGGCGAAGTCAGAAAAAAGGTTTCCTTCTGTCAATTCTTCCATGCAGATTGTTGCTGAATAAGCCATGCTTATACTGTGGCCCTGTGGACAACTTCTAAACTTTTCAACAGCTCATTTGGAGTGGTTTACGGGTTTCCCTTTGCAGTTCAGGCAGTTATATCAGAGATTTTTTTTAGTCTTCCAGATCTGGCCTTGATTTCAACAGTTCCATATAATTTCCATTTCTTAATGTTTCTCACAATTCAAATGCTAGCTGGAAGATAGATAGATAGATAGATGGTAGGTAGGTAGGTAGGTAGGTAGGTAGGTAGGTAGATACATACATACATACTAGATGATAAATAGACAGATTGATAATAGAGATAATAGCTAGATTCTTCCCTTACTTTGTAAGAATAACTTATCTGCATTTTCCAATTCTTAAGACAGCTGCTCAAGGGAGTCCATGGCTGTTGAGACATCCTAATTACAATCCAAGAGGTTAGAAAGATTAGAATAATTGTTCATCTGTGGAATTGTCTTTGCTCAGCTAATTGTAGGCCTAACAAGTCAATCACCTTCTTACTGTATGGGGGTAAAAAGCAGCGAATCAACTGGAAGGGTGTCAAATCTTCTGCACATATTTTGAATCTTCTGCACATAAATAGTAAGCATCATTCAAATTCACAGAAAGACGTTACGTTTGACCTCATACCATACAGGCTGTGTCATCTTCCATGCATTTAGGAATTCACTGAAGCATACAATTCAACCAGGGGTGCATAAATTTTTGCATGCAACTATATATAAATGCAGATTGTACACATAATTGACTTTGCTGATCCCAAAGAATTAAGTGGGTCTGACCTGGATGTGAAACCACTAGGAAGTTCCAAGGTGGTAGGGAGGTCCAAAAATCAGCTTGGAAGAAGGCAAAGGGATGACACATCCTTTTTGTTGCCAAGTAAATGATGATGATGTACTGGCTAGGAGTCAATCTTCATGTCAAGAACACTTTTTTTTTTAACAACATACATCCCTAGCTGCTGCTCCCTAAAAAATGTTTTGTAAAAATGAAGAGATTGCTGTGGCAATCAATTCATCTCCCAAGGGCCCTGGCATAGCTGTACGTCAGCCCCACAAAACAGACCAGACCAGGAAATTGAATTCTAGTCCTACCTTAGGCATGAAAGCCAGCTGGGTGACTTTGGGCCCGTCACTCTCTCTCAGCCCAACCCACCGCACAGGGTTGTTGTTGTGGGGAAAGTAGGAGGAGGGAGTATTAGGTATGTTCGCCACTTTAAGTTATTTATAAAAATAAAAAAGGTGGGATTAAAAAATCTAAAAAAAATAAATTCCACAGGAAGGCTAAAACTACTTTAATTGAGATTGGCTATAATAATAATAATAATAATCTTGCAAGTCCTGTTGTGCTATATGTCCTCCTCCTTACACTTCAGTGAATAAGGTCGGGATGTGCCTAAGCCACTTCCAAAAGTTATCTCATTTCTGGACTTAAAAAACGTTTTAGCTCCTTTTGCCTAGATAACAGTTCTTGCATTTTTCTGTCAAGGTCATCTTCCTTCCTCTCTGTCAACTAGGTAATTAGGCTGGGCCTGTTTGCTGCTGCTTCAAATCCCTCCTGCTTGCTTATTTGGGCTTCCTTGGGTGAAGACCTTGGATTTTTCACTCAAGAGAGAGAAAGAAGTTCTACAGCATCCGTTCCCACACACTTTGCTCTAACTATAGCATGTATGTGAGTAAAGAGAAGCGTAGTCAGTGCAGAATAAGGTAATAAACTTCACCCTTGAATCGAAGTTCCAGAAACACCTAAATAGAACTCTGCTTGAAACACATCATGGCAAGAATCAAACTAGCATTAGGGAGAACCAGATCTTCTCAGCAGGATGCCTTCACTGGAAGATTTTGAACCGTTATTTCTCTCAGCACAATCTATTTCAAAAGATTCTTGTAATTATGAAAGAGGTTGTCTGTGTATGTTTAAGAACTGGCCATCCTTCCTAAGGAAGGCTACTTTAAATATGAAATAAAAGCATGTCGCTAAAGCAACTATAAATGTGGCTTTGAAAACTACAGGAGTAAGGGACTAGATGAAAGGGGACAATTTCTGAGAAGAGATTGAAGCCAAAACCAGGAGAAACCATCCTATTTCTGCCTGTGTGTATTTTTAAGTATCAGCCAGAGGCTAAATTTTAGACCTTAACAAGTGCTGCCATCTAGTGGGGGGGAAATAGCACTGTATACAATCTACACATTTCAAAGGAAGCCAGCTTTTAGAAAGCAAGATAATATGCTGAAATCAGATGTTTGTTTTCACTGTATGAACATGGACACAGGTTTTTAATACACACAGACACAGACACACAATTATTATTCTGGCTCAGATGTTAAAATATATATTCTGTTAAATTTATAATTTGATAATGTGAATAATGGGTCCTTAATTATAATCCCAATT